GGAAAAACCACATCGCGTATCAAAACTGGGGTCCACCATGCATGCGCGTGCGAGAAAATAAATCAACCGTCGTCAAAGCGCATCAGTACCACTCAAGGAGGAAATAGTTTCATATGTCGATCAAAGGGGTTCTTAACAGACTGCGAAGTTGCATGTCGTCGTCGCTCGTGTAGATACGATAGATGCTCAATCGGCGTCACTGGCCCAAAATTGGATATAAGAGGTATCCAGCCGGTGGCATGTACTGGGGATTCGTTCATGACACATATAAATACTCATAAACAGTTCGGAGGGAGGTTACGTTGTGATGTCGGTCGGGGGAGAGGGTGGTAGGGGCGGTAGAGGTGGTGGTGATGGTAGAGGGGGTAGAGGGTAAGGAGTGGAAGTGGTAGAGGGGGCTGCGCAAGCGAAAAGCGAGCGTAAGCGAGCATTTGATGCTTGTTAGCTATTATTATTATTGTTCTATCGTTGTGTTCAGTGTCAGACTGTCAGCCCAACATATGTCCAGATAAAAAGTGGGCTCTTGCTGAAATGTGCGTCTAGGCGTCTGGTATGATACGCGCACAGTACTCCATAGAGCACTTATAATCCTTCCCAAGGCTATGAGTGGCCAGAAACTCTAGCGAATTCGTATCTTTAAAAGAAGGGCACACTCAAGGAACCAGAGGCTTCAGCCGGGGCATCCGGATATCAGTTTTTTAAACCCCCACCCCCTGGAAGAGGCGCGAGATCAAGGTCTCCTGGGGGAATTGGTAGGATCAAACACTAATCCAGGCCCAGTTCTTTTAACGTTTCCCAACGCGATCCACGCTTGCTAAGCACACATTATAGCGGATTGCAATGCGATTATAAGTCCTTTTTGTTCAGCTCGTTTGTAGAAAGTTCCATTTCGACCACGAAAGCAAAATAGGTAACTTCAATAGCCAATGGCTTGCCACACACCTGGTAGAGTAACGCAGAGATAATGTACGCCCAGTACATGTACAGTCCATACATACATGCAACTTTTTGCAGGCTTGGGCACTGACAAGGGACGATCCATGGTGGGGGCGCATGTCCATTGTCCAGTTAGAAGAATGTAACCGGGAGATATTGACCTCACCGGAGGATAAAAATGACCAAAGTCCCCTTCAAAACGATTAGATCATTTTGACTACAATAAAGAGAGATGCGGTCTCCATAAAAAAGAAGCTATTTTATCGCAGGTTAGCCTATAGCACGCCGTGACCCTTAGTCAGTTGACTCCTATCCGCATCGTGTTTGTTGTTTTAAGTTGCTCCCGGCCGTGTTTAGCGGGGAGCGGGTGGTGGGTGTGGGCAACTGCGTCACCTGTTTTTCGGTCTCGTCAGCCGCCAGTCACATCCAACCAACATCGATCTCCGCAACCTCACCTGCTTCAAAGACTCAACCTGGCCTCACTGAGTTCTCTCCTACGACGGCCCTTCATCTTGTTCTCGTGGGCAAATTTTCATATATTCTTATTTTTGCTGTTGTGTTTGAATCTGTATCTCCTTTGCCGTTGTTTGGAGTGGGGTACCGCATTACGTGTCTACCTTCACCATGGCATTCCGTCTACCTACACATCCTCCACAGAGGCAACAAGCCTACACTGGCGCCCCTCAGCCCTCCAGCCTCGAGACCAGGTCTACGGCTGCGTACTTGCAACGCCCCCAACAGCAACAACAGCAGCAGCAGCAGCATCAACAAGTCGAAGAGTCGACAGAATGGGTCCTCTTCTCGCCCTCCCACGCGGGCTCCATTACGGCCCGCACCCATACCACCTCCACTGAAAGAACACCGCGCACAGCTGGCCTGTCGCGAGTCAGTGATTTTGGTTCGCTTGACACTGCTGCCCAATCCCAATCTGAAGATGAACTTGATGAGGATGTGTTGGAAGATGATACCACAGAGCTTGACAGCCTGGACGATGGCTTACATGCCTTTCGCGAACCTACTAGATACAGGATAATATCTACTCAGGCAGGCCCTTATGATACCGCCATCCTCCCAGCACATGACGGGTTAGGTTTGTTTGCCCCGTCGAGCCAGGATGTACAGGATCAGCTCTGGCAACATGAACAATACAACCCGCGACGGTGGGGTGACGGTAGACATAGAAGGCGGTCTAGTGTCCAGAGAAATTTGGAGACTGTTGAAGAAATCCAGGCTCGCGAGTTAGAGCGCGAGAGATGGCAGAGAATTGAGCAGTGGAGGATGGAACAGAGCCGTGCTTTGTTGCAGGAGATTGAGAAGGAGACGAGGCGGAGAAGAAACAGCCGCGCAAGTCATACTGGCGAAAGATTAGTAGTAGCTCGACAGGCTCTTGAGAGTGATGCGGGGAAAATCGATCTGGAAACTAATGCCTCCGAAGCTGGTACTCAAGAATCCCGTCTTAGCCAGGATTTAGGATCGCATGATTATGATGATGATGATGCTGCAGCTAATGAGTCCTTCTGGAGAAGGATCACCCGGAAAGTCATTCGGGACTTAATTGGTATCGATGACTCCTTACTTTCAGTCATCTTGGGTGAGTCGCTTGTCCCGACTGAGAAAAGAGAGCAAGATGAGATGTCCGCAGTGAACGATCTCAGCGATTCTACATTAGATGGCTTGCACCATCATTTGGATGGGGACGAGGTCCTGAAAGACGTGAGTGACGCTCCTCACGCCGACGATCATTGGCATGAAAGGCTCCTGGAGCGTATTGCTCGCGAGTTGGGAATTCTGGTCCATCAACTATGTGAACATCCAGGTGCCTTCAGCACTTATGTTCGCTCTTCAGCATCTATTTCTAAACAGTATGCTGGTATACCTATTTCTCCACCTCCTTCGACACCCATAGCATCTGTCTCTCGGCCATTTCCCCTGTCTCGAACCGCGTCAAATAATACCACATCCAATCTTGCGTCAACATACTCTCCCCAATACGAATTCGGCCCCACCCTCCGAGACGTAGCTAACGCTGCATTAGAAATTGGGGAAGAAGCACCCCTCTCCCCTTACGACCCGAATACCCAGCCTGCGCCGCTGACGGCAGGTCAAATCCCCCAAAGCAGCGAAGCCCTCTCAGAAGCCGCCCGCCTTGAACGCGAGCGCGAGTATTGGGAACGCGAGCTAGATATCAAAATGGTCTTCCACTTCCTGCGCAGCCGCTTTAGCAAAAACATCCCCTTCACAAATGACGACAACAATAACAAAAACACGTCCCCTCGCCGTCGCAGCTCCACCAATACCACCACCACCCTTTCAACCCACCCAACAAATCAACAAGACTCTTCCCTCCGCGCTGCCATAATCCGACAACATCACCCCCTCGTCGCGCGCGCCCATGCCCGCTCCCAATCCCAAATCCAACGGGCCATGGCCCGGCAGCATGCCCGACAACCTTCAACATCTCTCTCGAGCCCTGCCATGGCTGGGCCCGCTAGCCCAATCCTCTGCCATCATATCCGCCGCCCTAGCTCCAGTTGCGCAAGCCAAAGTGCAAAGATGTCTGTGGTCTCGGCGAAGCGGACGATGGCTGGCGGTAGTGGGTCGAGTCGACATTACTGGGATATTGGGGGTAGCGTTGGGAGCGGAAGCGTGGTTGTCTCTGCGGTTGGAGGGATAGGGAGTTGGCGCGATGTTTGAAACGAATGTTTAATTATTTATGCTCTAGTGGTGAATAGCGAACGAGGTCATCTTCGCATCATTGGTTTTTTTCTTCTTTCTTCCCCCTTTAGCCTTTCTTGGACCTCGATAAGCATATATGATTCTATTTGCTACCTTCTCGCGTGGAGTAACATGCTTTCTTTCTTGTGTTTTATCTACCTTTTTTCATGCTCTGCCCACATACACATTTGAAGTATATCACGGAAAGTGAATAGATGGCTCAAAGGGCATTGGAAGGCGCGTCGGAAGAGGGATTAGGGGGAGGAATCCTTGGGCCAGGCTAGATGGGAATGGATGCCTCTTTGGTTCTTGTTTTTCGAATGATAGCATAAATGACCTTTTGGGAGCACGGAAAGGCGCGTAGAGGGAGGCTGTCTATTCTCTTACATGTATATATGAAAGCAGTTTGGTAACTTCAAATTAGTTGTTTATAAGCTAGATATGTGGCCGAAGCAATACTTGAGACCTATATCTGGGTGGCCACACACTGTGTATGCGCTGCAACACACCACCAGCTAAAGAATTACACATAGTGATGATCACTGAGTTACTGGCATATCAACATATTTCTCACATTCCCAAATAATTTGTTAATAATCTCACTAGGATTCAGTTAAGTGTGACTCTAAGTATACACATACAGAAGAATGACTACAGATCATGAAGAAGCAGAGACACAGAAAGACTACTGTAGAAACATTGACATTTTATATTGTAGTCTTATGAAGATCAAAGATATAGATTTGAATAAATGTGACTTTCATTCATATTTAAGAGTCATATAAACTGACTGACTGACTTACTGATACTCAATGTTATTTTCACCAGTTCATAATCATCAGTGTCTAAGAGAGATAGAAAAAGAAAAACTCTTCTCTATTGAAATTCACTGAATAAAATAGTCAAGACATCTGTAGAACTGTAAAATAGTTATGAGGATTCACAGATCAGAGATAGATCTAGAATGCATGAACTTGTTACACAGTGCCCATCATATCAACAGATTCCCATGCTTTTCATGATGGATCAATGAAAATCCAATTCCACAAACATTACACAGACAAGGATGGAGTCCCAGGGATATATCTTATATTTTGTTTGTTGAATCCTTTTTGTAAACGCTTAGATTTGTGTCATAAAACAATAGAAAAAGAAAGAAAAAAGGAAAGAAAATCAAAAAAAAAAGCTAACTTCTTCCCATTCATTAACAAATCTATGCTTGCGACAGATTCTCATACGCCTCTGGGAATCGCTTCATGTTCTCCTCAATGTTGCCCTTATTTCTCAAGAACTGAACGTAGGCACCATCAATCTTGACACGGCCCTCTTGTCTGAGCTGGATGTACTCCTCACGTCTCAGTGGGGTGAAGCCCCAGTTCTTACTGACAATGATCTTCTGACGGCCGGGGAACTTGTACATGGAGCGGCGGAGAGCCTCGACGGCGGTAGCACGGTGGGCATCACGGGTGCGAACGCTGAGAAGGATTTGGCCAATGTTGACGCGAGCGACGATGCCGTTGGGCTTACCGAAGGCACCACGCATACCGGTTTGGAGTCTATCCGCGCCGGCACACGACAACATCTTGTTGATACGGACGACATGGTAGGGGTGGGCGCGGACGCGGAGGTGGAAACCTTCCTTACCGGCGACCTTGACGAGGTACCTGGATTGGTGATATGGCATCAGTAAAAATATTGCTTACACGCGGGACTCGATTTGTTGTGGCGGGCTACGTACTTGTTGGCGCAAATACGGGCAGCTTCAAGAGCCTCAGAGCTCAACTGTTCGTACTCGTTGGACACCATGTGCACACACAGAGGGAACTCATCGACATTGGCCTTCTTGCGACCAAGATCAAAGATACGGATCTTAGGGTCGGGCACACCGCGGTTGAAGCGGGATTTAGGATATGGCTATGGCAAAAGCTCAATTATTAGCATTTGACATAGAATTTTGGCCCCATTTAGTTTTCAGTAAATGCGTCAGCAGTCTCCTGTCACATCGCACGCCGAAAATCGCACACGGAGCCAGTGATAGACAGACAGGTGCTTTCAACAACAGTCATTGACGTCTCCTTGCTCGGCTGGTGGGCATGCGAAGTTTCGTCTTTCCCCACAACGATGTTCATGTCGAAAATCAAAAGGAGCAACAGGAACATCAGCAGCATCGTACCTTGTTCTTGCAGTAGCGGTAACATCTCGCTGGACGACGTGCCATTTTGTCGGATGATTAGGAGCAATGACAGCACTTCCTGCGAACTAGGTGATATGTGGTTTGGCGGTGTTGTCGGTCGTTGTCGTCGTCGTCGTGGAAGAGATTCCGGTTAAGTATTCAAGTGTTGCCGTTTTTGATTTCCAAGCATCGGGGCTAGTGACATCACATGACCATACCCTAAGCCCTAATATCCTAAATAAGACATCAAAGGGGGAATTGATTACTAATCGTAAGCCACTGGCGAGTAGTCACATGACTTTGATATCAAACCTTCCTCAAACAAGAAAGGAAGGCCTCAACTCCAGATGGCAAAGAATGACGATGATGATTGCTAGCAACAAGCTAGAAGCCTCATCTGCTGACATGCTCGCTGATATGCTTTAACTACTGCAATCAACCGTTGCAGTAGAAACTTAGCCTCAGACCTAACGCATTCTAACACTGAAGTTGGGCATCTAAGGGGCGTGTCGTCAGAGATGCACAGCCAGGTTTGATGAAGGTATTACTATATGCTCTACATCAATTCTCACTCTTAAGGCAAAGGCAGAGGGATTCACTCAGGCGTTTTCCGTGAGTACCGAGGCGACATTATTGCGATGGGACAAAAATTTCGCTGGGACATCCGCGATGTTTTCTAGATGCGGAGACTTTGGGATCACGCACCTAACGTCCAAAATGGCATATTTTCCGAGCAGCATGCCATCTCCTTTGCCAGGTCCCAGGGGCCAGGAGCATGGTTAAAGTTTTCATACTTGGCTTGCCACTTGGCTTTATGGCAGATTGATTGGCCAAATTGCTGGGAATATGTCGATAGTATTTGGCGATGGGACATGAAAAAGCCTATTTCAACCTGTTTTCACACGGCCGCTGATGACTCTAATAACAGTTATCTACAGGATGCCCTCCAGACACTCAACGGATTTTATGCATCGTGAGCCATGCCTAACGAGGCGTGTATTCCATTCCTACTAACCCTCAGCAAACGCCAAGTCCTTTCAAATTCGAGTTTTGAAATCTCATACAAGGCTGAAGCGCGTTTCACTGTTTGACGTAGCCAGAAAGACGGGGTGACATCGGCTTGTTACGTCTTCGTTGTGGGCAGGGCAGGATTGTCATACTACGCAGCGTACGGAGTGGTGAACAGAACTTGAGAAACTTGATCTCTTGCCAAGGTATCTGCAGCATGCAGTCTCCGCTTTCAACAATTTCCCGGTGCCACTCCTGAGTCGGCTAGGCTTGAAGGAGTTGCGATGATCCTGGATCCCAAGTGAGTAGTGATTTCAGTTGAAGTTGCTTGTCTCGAGTTGCGCTCCACCACAAAAACCCTATCCCCGGCTAGGCACGCGCCACCCGCGCTAGCATCGGCAGCACGTGCTGTTCGGACACGGCACCTGGTACGAATCGTCAATTGTCACATTTATTAATTCAACAAAGAGCCACACAGGTACCGTAGAGAGATGTAATATGCCTGGACAAAGCCTTCTTTGAAGTTTGCCGGACCCATTATTACCATGCAACCATTATTGTTCCCACTGTTGGGGTGGAGAAACACTGGGGTCCAGAGCCACTGACAACTGGAGATACCAGATTCAACCCTGGGATGCCTTGAACAAATGGGGCATCGGTCCACTATCTACTTTGCGTCCGAGGACCGAAGACGAGCAGGCACAGAAGTATTTTGAATTTCCCTTGCCTTCATAGTATTCCAGAGCACCCGTGGATGCTGGCGAGGTCCCTGATCTGGCTCCATGGAGAAGAATATGTGCTCTAACCCAGCTCTTTGGTCCCAACATCGTTAATATCCGCTGTTCTTTTGATTTGTCGTTCGTATGCTACCCCGACTCTATATCTACGGAGTTGCTGTTTTGCGTTGCCCCGCTGCCTCCTTATGCGATCGACAGAACACTGGTGAAGGCTTCATTCAGCATTGTGCTCTGAAGGCCAGCAGCTTTACATATTCGACCCCTCCCCCATTTCTTTTCTTCCTATCTTGGCATTATCTGTTCCAGGTCTGATAGGGCATTATATTCTCCATACTATACTCAGGGATTGAAGTACCAAGTTCAATTTACAACTAATCAGTTGGATTTGCCAGGTGTTGTGTGCTGTCAACTATTCCATATGTGGTCTGGGTTACCTAGGCCTGTCTAGCAACTACGTATAAAACCGCAAAGCTGAGGGGATTCCGGTTTCTGCTTGCCCTCGCGGCTGGCTTGGCCTCCCTAGCCACAGCAGCAGGCGTTGAAACGCGAGCGGATTCAATCGCCGATTTACCAACATGTGCCGTAGGTTTTCTACTGCAGCAAGCTTACCTGCGGCGTATTATTTTCTTATTGACTCTTTGGAGAGAGTGCGCCTGCTAACTTTCAACTGATGCATTCTAGACAAAATGTTTTTCCCAACTAGCTCCAGAGTTCCCCTGCCTTCTCCAGGATCCAACATGCGTTTGCTCGGATGACAACCTGGCGATGGCTGTCGAGAATTGTGTCCTAGGACGCTGCACATTTAGAGAAGCCCTCAGTAAGACCTCAGGCGCTTGATATTGTCACCGTGGATCTCCTAAACCTGGTTACTCATTACAGTATTTAAAGCTGCGAAACGTATCTCAGAAAATCTCTGTGGACACTCTGAACGAGACAGAACGTCCTTGGTTTCAATATGCGGAGTAACGGGACTTGCTGTTGCCTTTACCGCATTCATATTGCGCATGATATCGAAGGCACCATACTTTGGTGGACAGTTTCATGCAGATGACTGGACCATCACAGTCGCTATGGTAGGCTTCGATATTGATATTCTTGATCTTCGACAATATGCTGATAATTTATTAGGTATTTGGTATACCTTTGGGTGTTTTGTCGGTACCTCGTAAGTATCCTCTCATTGGAGTTACCTCTCCTGGATTATTTCTCATTCGGAAGTGTATAGTCGCCAATGCCGGTCTGGGGAAGGACATGTGGAATGTTCAGTTTGACAAAATCACATACATTCTTAAAGTGAGTCGCTCCATCGCATGGTCTGTGGTCTCAACGAAAGAACATGGTGTCAACTAACCTTCTAATCATTCAGGTCTATTACGTACAAGAAGTAATGTATTTTGTCACCATGAACGTTACGAAAGTATCCATATTGTTCTTCTACCTGCGAATATTCCCTTCACACAAGTTCAAAATCGCCTGTTATGTCGTGATGAGCGTTACCATTGCCTATGGGACTGCGCTTGTGTTTGCCGCTCTGTTCCAATGTAACCCGGTCCATCTGGCCTGGGAACATTGGGATGGCGAGCATACGAACTACAAATGCAGCAATATCAATCTCATCGGATGGTTGAGCGCAGCAATAAATATCGTTTTGGACATCGTCATTATCACCTTGCCAGTCAAGCAACTTCTAGGATTATCGTTGTCAGTGAAAAAGAAGATCCACATCCTACTAATGTTTGGTGTGGGATTTTTGTTAGTTTCCCCTTTCTGACTCCCATCACTACCAACTTCGTTCATTGCACAGATTGTACCCTTTTCGCGGTCACGAAGGAAACGACTCAGTTCTAACAAGGGAAAAAATAAACAGCGTCACAATCGTCAGCATAATCCGCCTGAAGTCGTTACTTCAATTTGGTAACTCCCATAACATAACCTGTACGTTCACTTCTTCATACATATCACCCCTCGCACCGATCTTACCTCCTATTCTGACAAACTTAATAGGGGATCATGTTCCCGTCGGCTACTGGAGTACTATCGAAGGGCATGCCAGCATCCTCTGCGCATGTATGCCGGCAATCCGTGCTCTCCTCCGCAAGTTGTTCCCAGCGATGTTCGGCGACCGAACCGGTGCCTCGTCCAGCGGAACTAGGAAAATACGCACGAACAAACTCAGTAGCAGCAATGTTAAAATATTTTCTTCTCAAGGACATGTTCCGCATTCGCCGCTTTCACCACGTTCGCCGCATGCGAGGAATTCTCTAGGGAAAGGTGGTGGGACGGTGTCTTTAGAGTCAGATATATTTCCCTTAGTCGAAAGAGGGGAAGTAGGCCCTGGGCATGGGTTTGGGAGTTATACAATCGTTAAGAGTGTCTATGAAAATTAGTAAGATTGGCCAAGGTATATATATATCACGATAAGCACGACGGAGTACGGTTTGCTTTTGGACGGCGCGTTGTTTTAATTTTTAATTTTTAATTTTGATTACGATGTGTGGCCTCATATTTTAATTTATAAAACTGTTTACGATTCCAATCGGGCTTCAGGAGATGGAACAAAGTGAGATGAATCATTAACAAGCAGCAGTTCTGCGTCTCTCCGGATAAATTGGATTTTGGCTTCACCATTATGTTTTTGGCTCTGCATTTGTCGACGTCACGTTTATTTTGTTGTGTTTCCATTTTCTCATGTCCAGTTTCATTTCCAGGCTAGTGGCTCAGGTACGGTACAGTACATACACAGGCTCCAGCTAGGAGGTAGAGGGAAACTAAAGAGTCCGCTATTTATCTCCAACAAGCAAGGCCCAACAAGGCACCTGCCGCCCTTCCATTCCATTCCAAATGCAATGGCGGTGGCAGCAGCACCCTCCCACCTGCCTCACAGAAAAAGCATCCCGTCATCCATACGAAATGTTTTCACTTAAGCAGTGGTGCCACTGAGGATATCGGAGTCACCAGCATCCAAGATGGCCATGGTGGAGCATCTGAAGAGCTTTCCGCAGGCGGTTCCAAGCTCGATCTAAAGAAAGTGGAGCAAAAAAGTTACTTTCCCACAATTTCCATCCCCCGCATTCGTGGGAAGGAAAGAGCGGAAAAATAAAAGTATTCGATAGTCAGCGATTTTGGTTCGATACCCTCCAAAGCTTTTTGTTTCTTGTAAATGTTGCAGGGAGACATGATAAAGCTTCTTCGCTGGGTAGAACATGACTACATATATCGCCCGGTCCGGCTCGTACCCTCGAGCTCGACTCAGCTCCCGTGTGTAGCATGGCTCATGGAGCTCAATATCACATGTCACGGTGGTGGTAATGAAGTTACGGTTTTCTGAGTTGAGTCGAGACGAGTCGAGCCGGTGGATGGAGCATGCTGGGAAAAGAACGAGGGGAAATAGTATGAGATTTGGCTTAGCTTACGTTGTTACCGGAGAAGTGGTGGACACTGGTCTTGGAAAGCATGGAGTAGTCTGCAAAAACGAAAAACGAATTGTTAGCCATAATTCTTTGGGCGCATGGGTCATAAACTAGAAAAATAAATATAAGATGTTTCTTACATTCAAGCTCACTCTTGCGGAGGGGAGGAGTGTTGCCGGCAATGATGACGAGCTTGGCCTTGCCGGATCGGAGGGACTTGAGGGTAGACTTATAACCCAGAGTGACTATTCGAAAACCGATTAGTCTGAGCGCCCATCAAATCTGCAAATGAAGCAAGCGATCGAATCGATCGTCTTCACAATGAAATATTTCTCAATAGCAGGATATGCTCACCCTTGCCGGACTTCATCACAAGCGCAAGCCGCGAGTTGATGTTGTCGGTGCTCTTCTTAGCCTTCTTTGGTGCCATCGTAACGCGTTAGAAATGCCAGGAGGACTCTCTAAAGGTATGAAATTGAAACTGGTGGGTTTTCGCGCTCCGGCAGGAAATGGAGATTGGCGATAGAAGAGGTTGACGTTCGTATGTAGCTGGGTGAGTTTTAGCGAATTTTCGAATGGAATTTTTGTGTGGGCTGGAAAAAAACACGGACAAATATTTTTCCGATAGTGCAGTAATTAATCTGTTATGTAAGCGCTACCTTAATTTGTTTATTATGTTTGTTTTCAAAAGTAACACTACATACAAATTTTGGTGGGGCGGTACAGGGTTGATCGAGAGTATTTGATCGGGAAGGTTATTTGACTACGTTACATTCTCCAGGAACGAGAATATTATTTCTGTTTATCTAGGGCATTAAGTAGTCTCGATAACATATTGTCCAGCATGCTACTCTCCGAAGCTATGCTCTGCCGATATGCTTCCAGAATGCAATGCATCTTACGCATAGCATCCGCAAACTCAGCGCATCCGTCAAATGCTTCGAATAGTAATATATAGGGCCATACACGTAAATTTACGAAGAAGCTCAGGGGTGAAATCAGCGGCGACGCTCCCCAAGAAGCAAACTCTGAAAGGGTGCATGTCCTTATTTATCCTTAACTTCTGGATAATTGTTACTCTCTCCCAGGCCAATCTGGCCAATTTCTGACATTTTGCTGGGAATCTCCACTGTGAAATCTGTAGCAGTTGGAGTTTATTTTCCTTTAAAAGGTACGGATAAGTACTATCTATCGGAGCGGAGACACCATATTG